GGGAGAGAGGGTGGGGCCAGTTCAAGTGGAACACAGACTGTGCAGCGCCCAAGAGCTAGGCGGTGCACATTACAGGTTGGGCGCCTAAGCCTTAGGCGCCTGTCTGTGGGGGCGCAACTTGAACATGGCTGCCACGCTGGCAGGAGGTGCGACGCCTAAGGCAGAGGCGCTGCATAGTAGTGTGCGGCGCCCAGCTGTCGGGAGCCACACGAAAGGGTCAACAGAGCAAATTTTTTTTGGAAGCAGATCAATTTGTGATTTGATTTCGGCGTCAGATCAAATATGTGATTTCTGGCGCGCCCAACCACTAGTTGAACCCATTAAAAATCGCTACAAGGGCGCACGAAGGGCTATGCCACGTGGGCACTTTTACTGTCGCAACTATTTTTACACAAAGGAAAAAATGCACCCTCGTCCCCATCCCCCGATTCTATCCCTCTCCCTTTCCCTCATGTGTCGCCGCCGCCACCATCGGCTCCCAGATGTGGCCCTGCTCTTCCCCATAGCCCTGACGGCAAGTCGGCGACAAGGACAAGCTCCACCTCGATGAGGTCGATGCGCCCCCTGCCACACTTCCTTCTTCGTCGCGTCACCATATTTGGAGGAGATGCGGGTTCTGCTCGCGCATCTGCTCCTCCCGGAGTTGTCGCCTTCGGCAGGAGGGAGTGCCGGACCTCGCGCCAACTCGAGGACCGCCGCTCCGGCGGCCCGTTGTTTCTGGCCGCCGTCCGCCTCGTTGGCCCTCTTCGTGGCTTGCCCTCTGGTGCCCCATCCATTCGCTACCAGTCACGCACCAGGTACAAACTCAACCTCCCTGCCTCCACATGTTCCTAGGTGCGGCAGATCTTCATCCCCTTTCTTTTCTAATATGTTTCTGTGCTCCCCCTTGCTACACAATTTCAGGTTAAAGCGAAAAATATTGTTTCAGCACAGTCCATCTGGTTTGACATTTTGAAGGCACAAATAGAAACAAGAAAACCATATATGATATATAAGATTTCCACTGAATTTTGTGAGTCCCTGAAGACTGCTTTAAAAGTACTTGATGTGTCCCTGCAATTTGTTTTTCATAATGTGCATGGCACTTTCAGAAAAAGGTAAAACAAAATCTGGGCATAAGTTGACTCTTCCCACCCATGTACAGAGAGAATGTCTAATCTGAAATTAGGTATGGATGGGGAATTTGTTTGGCACAAAGTACACTATGATATGTTTCTGTCTCCTTTGATCTGTTGAGCATGGATGTATGCCTGTTGTGCTACTGGGAGTATTGCTTGGCAACTATAGAATTCAGCTAACTGTGCCATCAAACTCATGTAACTGACACACTTAGCATTTTATGAAAAAGTGCTGAAATGAGTTCAGAGCTCGGGAGGTTAACAATTTTGTGTAGATGTTAGTGTTGTATATTAATATAACATTTCGTAACCTACAAGATCTCACTTGCTTTATTTTTGCTACGGTACTTACACAATGGAACCTTAATATATTGAACAAAAATCTGCTGAAAAGGGTCTTGACTGGAAATGTATTCTGCTTATTGTATTTGTTGTCTTGGTAATAATTTATAGAATCGCATAAAAAGGAATTTTTGGTTTCATGAAAAACAGAGTGATACAATGTTTTTGTTTTAATCCGTTGAAAGTTAGTGAAACATGTGTGTGTACACCAAAACATTCATGAACTGAATAGCAGATTGAAAACCTTGGCATGTGTAGTACAACTGATTTTATCTTAGTGACTCGATATTTGTGTTTGATCTTCCTGAAGCTGCAGGTGATGAATGTATTTTTCCCTTTCAGCTTTAGGTTGCCGGCACCTAGGAGGGACCGGACAGCAAAATCGGTGCTCATCAAAGATAGCGTTGATGCCCCTTACGGCCTTACCCGACAACACAGTTCTGCGGAAGCTTCTTGTAAGTGCCAAGTAAATTTCCTCTTACATGGATAATTATGGTGAGTTGATATTTATCTTGCTTCTGCTCATCATGACCAGCGTATACCAAGACACTTCTCTGTGTGCGATGGATATACACGCGTGGAGTGAGCTTTTCTCTGCGGCTCTGGTGACCTGCGCACAGGGTCTCCGTTCCATGGTGTTGCCAACGAGCAAGGTAAATCCTCTACGCTTGGTCACTTTGACTCTGTATTTATGCTATGGTCACTTGGATTTATGCATCGAAGCTTCTCATTTTTCTCTTTGATTGATCTTTCCAATGTAAACCACTGTACATCTACTTCGCTGCATTCTTTGATAGATTTATGTATTTATGCTTGTTTCATGGTTTTCGTTTTCTCAATAATTTGTACCTCCATTACAGATGTGGAGACCTATCATGAGCCTCTCCTTTCACATCAGATTGTGTTCCATCGAAAAAGCTTGGGTATCCTTATTTCATCAATTTTGGATGATTGTCAAAATCCTAGGATATGATTTAGAACCTGACATTATATCTTATTGTATGATACGACTGTCTAATACTCATAATGTGAGGGACACAGGAAGAGTATTGGCCACTGGCGATGAAAGCATGTGAGGGACACAGGGGGAGCATTGGTCGGGGGGGAGTCATCGATGCAATGTTGATGCCAAGGTGAGCTTTCCCAATTTTGCTCTTTTTGTTGGGCGATTCCGATGCGTGTTCTTGATTTGATCTGTGAGTTGGGTGGTCTGGCGTCTACTCATGTGATCTTACTTTATCAGATTCTTCTTAGTTTCTGTTTTTTATTCGATCATGCACTTGTGGTACTTGATACGATGGTTATTCCGCTTTAGTGTTGTGGATCTGATAGTCCGAACTTAAAAGTGAGGATTTTTTTAATGCAAACTTATCATCTAAAGATACTCTTGATTTAATGTGGCCCCTGACTGATGAACTCTTGGTCCGCAAATTAGAGTTATTCAGCAATTGATTACAAGTCTTTAGAATTGTAGTCTGTACTGTAGTGTAGTGTTTTTAACTTGATGATGTTGGTTTCCGCAAAAAAAAAGAAGGGAAAACTAGCGAACAGGTCGGTCTTAGTACTATTGAGCTGCTCCCATGCAGTTTTGTGTGTAGTGGTAGTGCAAAGCCAACATCCTTTTTGTTTGGCACTATAAAACAATGATATCTTGATGTTGAAGCATTATATTGTTGTTTAAATGATACTAGCATAGATGCTGCTTGGTTGCCAATTTGTCACTTGTGAAGATCTTCACATGTTGTAGTTTGGTAATAGGGGATATAAAACATGTGGATTTTTAAACATGTCGTAGTTGATGACAGAGCATATGGTGAACTGACCACTTGTCTCTGCACATATTCTTTCACCTGGAGACCATTGGTTAGTTTATGATAGTTTATGCAAAATTTACCATGTATGTTCATAGATTTTATCCTAGGCTTATACCGTGTATCAAAAAAATAGATCTAGAGTATGACTATCTGAATTTTCTGTTCATGTCCAGTGCTGAAGCACACAAAATATAAGGGTGTAGATGAGGAGGCGAGGGCTGACGACAACCATGGGAGGAGGTCGGGGTGGCTGAAGGATAAGGCATGGGCGGCTTCGGCAAGACGTGTCACCAGTGGATGTCCACGATGAGGCAATGAGAAGACCCTCTCTGTGAGCCCTGTCCCTCTCATTTGGCCTCTTGATTTATGGTTCTCATGCTTCCTGTTTCTCTGTTCTTTGTTTGTGGTGATCAGTCTTGTCTTTGATACCTGGATCCTCGTCATTGATCTTGCGCACCCGGACAAATGCACCATGGCCTCTCAGATCACACACAAGACTAATCCATGGCTGGGTAACATCACCCTCTTTCTTTTTTCTCTCTTCATTCTTCTCTGTTCCTCTTTTAAGTATTCTCTCCTTGGACCACTCTAGAAGGTGTCAATTTGCACTATTTTTTTCTTGTTGCCTTATACAATCTGTCAATCATACACTTTTGACCTCTACGTGCTGGCTGATTCATTAGTGCAATACAAAGGACATATTCAACACAATAGAGGATGCCATGATAGACCAATCTTGCAATTTCACCTTCCATTTGATATCTCTGCTCTAAGATAAGGTAATATTAGCTGGATCTGTGCTACTTCCTCCAATACCAGTATAATGATTGGCATGTGTGTATTACAGATCTAACACACATATGTTTGGAAATGGAGACAATTTCGTCATGTTCTGTGTCTTTGTCATCCGGCAAGTGTCTGGATTTCTTTTAATTTCTTGAGTATTACTTTTCAAAGTCGAAGTGCAATGTGATTCCGGTGAGGAGGTTAGCTCTTGTGCTCTTCACAAGTTTCTTTTGATATTTAACTAGCATGGTACTATCTGATTTGGCACTACCATTTTTGTTGACTTATATACTTCCATGTTTTTCCTTGTCAGAAACATTCAAGCCATTGTAACATGTTTCGTAAGCAAGACCTTAAATCGTGTTTCCGGATCTGTCTCAACAAGGATATAAAAGAATTACCATCACTGTAGCTGGATATCATACAGGATATCATGGATACATACTTGCTATGGTTTTTCCATTATAAGGTATAACTATCGCAGCTATAACGGGCTATTTTTGATTTGTTATTGTCCCTTATTTGTCTCACAGTTTATCCCTTCCACTATGAAGCAGACCAAAATTGTCATACATGAACAGTTACTATATATGTGCTATATACTTCCTGCAAATCCCACACCACTTTCTGGTAAACCCACACTACTAATTGATATTGTATGGAATATATGAGGGCTCATTTCACTAGGTTGTTCATTGACTAGATCGTCCTAATTATCGTACTGTACTGAGCGGTTGAATTATCGTATTGATTTGAGCAAGGCGACTATAACGACGAGATCTTAAAAGTGGTTCTTAGTGGTGTACCTGCTGTAGGTGATCAATTTGGTCTGGGTTGGATTTTTCTTTTATCTTTGTGATTGCTTTTCTGAAAATGATTCAAAAATAATGTCGCATATCAATTCCTAACATTTAATGCCTAGATGTTTGATTATAGACCGTACAAGTCAATGTTATTCTTTGGAAGTTCTGAAGTCAAACTACCTACATCATTGTTTCTACATTTTATTTGTTTCTCTATGAAAACATAATTGCGATGTTGGTAGTCCAGGAATAATGCATGCAGTGCAAGAATTCTCATGGATCAATGCACATAACAGTTATGCAGCAAACCTTTCTCTATAAAGTTCAAATCATATATATTGAAGATTCTGAAGTGGGTCAGATTTTGTATATGTTTGCTAATATAGACCGACTTTAGTATTTGGCATGGTTTACAATGTAATTTATGGATCAATATTTTTGCATAAAGGTCCCCTTTGGACTGTAGTTTTCTTCTGCTGCAATTGTGTTGCATTAGTTGCCCAACATAAAAGCTCTAAGATTTGGCACATGTTTTCGTTCTAATATTTTTTATAGTTATACTTCATGTGCTTTGATGAGGAATTCATTTAGCGAATGATATTTTCATGCAGAAGTCTAATATTTTCTGCAATTTGAAAGTGTCTTATATATTTGCATATAAATTAGGTCCTTATCTGATATATTTACACCACCCTCCTTTTATCTCTCGTTCTGCAATAAAAGTGAATTTTTATTGGAAATACATCGGATTCTTCCCATATGGCAATGGTAGTTCTAGGATTAGTTCTTAACTACTTATGACTTATTACCGAGTACTTCTACTTAATATTTCTTATTTTTTGTTGTCAAATAGACCTAAAGGCGCCATATTTATTTTTGTTAATAATCATTGACTTGATATTAGAGCTTTGTCTTCTCAGTTTATATTAGAGCTTTGTCGTCTCAGTTTATGGTTGTCTCTTGGGTAATGCGGACACTTAATTCAAGCCAAAGATATGAACTGGAATGCATTTGCAGGCAGGGGAGCACGTCCAGCTGTCGTATGAGAAGAAGGGCGCGCAGCTGAGGACCCAGGATGCCAATGGTGTGGAGCCGTTCGCCATCGAGACGACCAGGGCTGCCACTAGGGACCTCCAGACCAAGCTCAACATCTCTGCCGCCTTCGTCGATGACGTGTCCTGAAGGGTCATTGACTTCCGCGATGACTCATCTGAATTTTCATGTATTTATTATAGTGTGCTCCATCTGTCCCCCTACAACCCTGATGTTGCAGGTGTTTGATCAATGTTTCTTGTTGTTGTGTTGTATGTACAAGCTGTCAAGGATGTGGCGAGTCATTGGTGATGTGCACCGGGTGATGAAGCACACATCAGATGAGGTTGAAGGGAGGCATGAGAGGCACGCCGGCCAACACGTGAGGTAATTTCTATTGTTGTACTCCCTTCGTTCCTAAATATAAGTCTTTGTAGAGATTCCACTACTACATACAGAACAACATGAGTGAATCTACACTCTAAAATGCATCTACATACATCCGTAGGTGGTTCATAATGAAATCTCTATAAAGACTTATATTTAGGAACGGAGGGAGTATCTTATGTTGCCATGCAGCTAGATGCTTCTGTCGACTGATGAAATTTTAGTTTCTTTCTCACGTGGTGCATCAGTATAATAAGTATATCAAAAATTGCATGTATGTGCTATCTAGATCCAAAAAGGAAATTGAAGGGGCATTCCCATACCTGGCACCGCCCAGTACATTCTCTGAATATGTTGCATTTGTACTTCTCTATGCTCTCTTGTAAAATATAATTTGTACTATGAAGTACATAAATTGACATATGCTCTCTTGTAAAATACAGATTGAACCTGAGCCAATGACCTATCCTCAGAGGCCTAGAGAAACTATTTGTGATGTATGTTATGAAGACCGGATTTTGCAAGTTTATCGAAAGATGCAAGTTTCACCATCCAGTTAATTGGTCTGCACCTGATTGCATTGTAAAATGGAAGGAGAGAGGTAACATCACTAAATAATCCCTCTAAATTTGTTGCCAATTCATGATATAAATGGAAGGAGACTGGATTTCTCATTGGTTTTTCTATAATGTTTTCCCCATTTTATTTTTGCAAATCGTTCCCACTTTCTTACTTATACATGATGGCCCTAATTTTCCTTTTCAGATCAGACCCCGTTCCAAATATGATCGAAATGAATCCAATACTAATTATGATTTGCAAACCGAATATTGAAGTAATAACTATAACTCTACACTCTACAGTAAGGTGTGTAAAAAATGGTCTAAATAAATGAAGAGAACCCCTGTAGAAGCAACTTTTGATAAACACTAATCAAATCATTCTTGTGATTTGTGAAATCTGTAGAGTGTTTCTGCTGTTTCTTGTTGTAGGCATATTTTTTGTATCGAGCTATTTTGGTGTATGTCCAATCTTGTATTTCCAGTTGAGGCATACAATCTAAATTCATAATGTATTGCAATATTGCTGGTGTTGGGATAGTATGTGGATGTGATTCAGTTGCTTAGTGTCATTCTAGATTAGCGATTTAATCTCCCAAAGATGTTGAACAATTTCATGCAAATGGTGCCCATCGACGCTGCTACCCTCAGAAAATTGCCATGGTATGGATTACCGGCCACGGGGCGTGTTTCTTGCCTCTGCCGAAGAGCAGGAGGATGCGAAGCAGGGCCAACCTAAGCTGCATAACGGGGTGTCATCGGGGGCGAAGGAGAGATCCGACGAGAGCAGTGACATGGTGGGGTTCGGCAAGGTCAATAAGGTGACCCGCAGGGCTTGGCAAGACAGTGAGACATGGTCGTGGGAGCGGAGCACATCTTTGGAAGGATGAACAGGCATGGCGACGGCAAGCACCTTGTTGTCACCTCAATTTCCTTACATCAGGCCAGTTCAGGCTTCCGAATTTGTGCTTTTGATCAATGGCAAACATGTACCAGTATGATTCGCGGAATTCATTAGACACGGTTACCAGTTGTGGATTCATCGCAATATTTTTTTTATCTTGTCAATATATTTGATGTTTGTTCGTGTAGCCTTTGGTTTTCATATATTGATTCAATGTTGTACCTACGCTGACAATTCATACAGGTGATAGATACGTAGCATTTCCAGCTGAATACGAAGGGAAACAAGCTTGCCATTAATTAATGTAATAATTTGACTAGGCAATGGTTTGTGGAAGGGATTAAGATGAGCAGACAACATGGCAGCTCAGAGTAACTATCCGAGGGCGGTTGACAACCAGGCAGCACAGAGGAATTATCCCATGACAACATATTTGAGTAAGATTTTTCATAGTTTTCTGAAACACTTGTCTGCCATTATTTTAGAAGAGTGTTGATTATGTTACCTCCTGTTTTTCTAAGAAAATAGTAAAATCCAGAGAATTATTCCTGGTCTTAATACATCATTCCATTTACTGGTTTTGGGTCTGCTATGGGTGTTGGAGGATATAGATCAGGCATAACTACAACCTGAGGTTGTGCAGGTTTAGGGATACCTCTTGCCAAGGTTATATCATTTAAAGTTTGACGAAAGACAAAAATATATAATAGGTAAATAAAGCTCAATTCATCACTGAAATAATTATGAATATCAATGCAGTAAAGCTATGATGTATGTTGTCAATAAAATTTTATCATTCTTTGTTAACATCATTGAAACTATTGATTTGTCTTCTCTAATTTATTACGGTTAGCTTTGTTTTAGATTGAGTGTTTATAGAAAACAATCATTATTTGCATCAGTTATAAGTTTACATTATGCAAATGCCAGTAACAAAAATAGTATGACACAAATGGAGGTGATGACCAACCAAGGAGAGGATGTTGATGAGATCAATGACACCAGATGGACGGACAGGCAGCTGCGAAGCATCCGACAGAACAACCGGTGAACAAGAGGAGCAAAGGCAGCATCTCTTGCGTCACTTTAAACATCTGCTGGTAGCAGAGCTTCAACCGGTGAACAGGAGGAGCTTCAACTCCGTTGTCGTAAACTTCAACTGTTGGCCGAGCTTCAACCTCTAGCCCCTCAAGTGTACAGTTGGTTCTATGCCAGGTTGGTTTTACAATTTTCTATTGTTATTTGTACAATATAGTGTTTAATCTGGTTGGGAATAATCCACCATCCAAGGAGATCAAGGTCTCTAAAATATTGTTGTTTGTTCAAAGGTTGTTTGTTTTGTTATTAATTGTAAATTCTGTTGCAAATTCCTTGCTTATATGTGCATGTTCATCAGCAATTAAAGAAAGAAAAAGGGTGGAAGGGTCGCTTGTCAAGCTGGCACCGCACAAACTTCCTACCAGGAGGTGCCACCACCCCAACCCCTAGTGGATATCAAACGGCACAGTCACCGAATGTTCAACGCTACGTATCCCTCCTGCTCTATATGATGGCATTCAATACATGATGCGACGCGCCCTTGTTCCACTGGTACAAGGAGCGGGAGCAGGTGAGCTCGTCCGCTACTTCGCCGCACTCGTGACTAGTGAAATGAAACTTGCATGGTCTCTCGAAAGGGAGTATTTAACAAAAAACTATCACAACTAGATCCAGATCGCGCCTTGTCGCGAGGGTGCCGGCCCCAATGTTTTGGGTAAGCCCGTAATGCACAGTGATTTTAGGGTAAAACTGTATAAGTATCATATACATTACATGAATCATACATAAGGCAACTTGCCACATAATCTCTCTATGCTTTGTATGGCTAAATGATATCATTCCGATCAGCTTGATTAAAATGTTCCTTAAATGAAGGATACGATGCATGAAAAAGATGGTCCAATTTAAGGTTAACATAATTTGTTAAATATCGAATGAATAGACACATAACAAATAAGAACACATAAGCAATGCTGCAAAAGAATGTGTGGCATACATGCTTCTCTCGGGAAGCAATAATTTCAATAAGGTAGTTTCATAAACTCAGTATTACAACTGAATAAACCCAATATACACGAAATGGTTTCAAGCGCAATGTAGGTACACCAACCATAGAAAGCTTAGTTGTCGCGGACCGGAGTATTTAATCCGCCAATTTAGACACCCAATTATCAAACATAAAGACAAATGTTTGGTGCTTTTCATTGAATAAATACACAAATGCACATACCTACAGGTTGACAGCATTAGAACATGCACTCTCTTCTTTAGGAAGGGAGAGATGCATGTCTCCCTAGTAGATGCAACAATAATTCATAATTTTCAATGAAGAGCGAGTAAAAGGACCGTCATAGACCAGTCTTCATAGTAAATGTATAGTTGCCTCATGACTGTCACCACAACATCTGGCTTGATGGCCGTATACTGAAAACCCTCGTATGCGTCAACATTACCCCTCGAACAGATGTGCACCGTTTATTTCAAGCCACCTGAGAGAAGATGAGCATAGAACAAAGGTCAAAAATCAAACGCATCTTCCCAAAACATGTATGCATCTTCAACATTAATGATGGTTATAATGTTGCTTCAGAAACACAATGAACAACAAATTCATAAGCATTGGATTGGTTATTGTTCAGTTCAGAAATAAAACCAATCTTTTCTCGAATGTAAGTGGTATAGTCGAGTACATAAAAAATCTATATTTACAAAACCTTGTTTGCTATCATAACTGAGATGGGCCTTAGTGCTTCCTTTCCGGCTTTCCAGACAAACGCCTAGGCCTAGTTCAAAAGATAGCATAGAAGAACCATATAAATTAGGGATTGGTTTATAGAAAAACCAATCCGCTATGCCATAGAATAACCATATAAAGCAAACGAATAAGAATAGCAATCCTCTGTTCAAACATAGGATCATACACCAAAAGCAAATTGTACCAGTAGTCGAGGATAACTGGTTTAGATGGTTCTTCTATGGTATAGAGTGATGCAATATTTTGCCAAAAAGGATTGGTTCATAGCAAAACCATATAAATTAGGGGGCAAACGAGTAAGAACAATAGCCCTATGTTCTAGCCTGAGACATGGTGCTACACTACTGCTCAAGTGGTTACGAAGGTGCCTAGTCAAAGGAAGGACACAACCAAGTTACACACATGATATGGCACGACCTACTCTCTGGTTTTGAGAAGCAGACGTAGATCTATGAATGAGAAATGTAGTTGTCGCTGTTAGTCCATATGTGTACATGGATCTAAC